GGGGGTGGCGGCGGCGGGAAGGGCGAGGCGCCGCCGCCGGCACCACCAAAGCTCGAGCGCAATGCCACGTTCGAACTCTCGGTCTTGACGAGGCACTCGACGTTGTTCGCCGGCGCCTTCAACGCGCGCGTGATGTCGCCCTCGCATGTGAACAGCTTGCACATCGCTCCTTGAGGTGCCAGTACTCGACGGCGGTGCAGGCCCTGGCGCCAGCCGGGAACTCCAGGCAGCGCTGCTCACACAGTTCGGCGCTCTCGCCGAAGCCCCTGTACTCCTCCTGGCACTTGCCGCCGTTTACGTCGCAGAAGCCGGCGTGACGATCGAACCCGGGCGCAGCCGAAACGGGCACAACGACCGAAGGGAGAAGCGCGTCGGAGCCGTGCGAGAAGTAGGCGAAGGCCCCGCCGCTCGCGGCGATGAGGCAGGTGTAGATGATGCAGAGCACCTTCGGCCAGCAGAGCTTGGGCCACGAGAGCCAGCCGGAGGCGGAGACGGAGCCCTTCGGCGTGGCCGTCGTGGTCGTCTTGGGGTCGACCGTCTTGTTGACCGTCTTGGGGGTCTTGGGCTTGACCGTCGCGCCCTGAACAGGGGCGCGAGACTGGCTGTGAGCGGCGAGCAGGGGGCGGAAGCTGCACGTGCAGGCGGCTAGCACCGAGTTTGTGGCCGCCACCTGCGCGGCCTCCTGCTGGTCTGCCTTGCGCTTCTTCGCGGTCGCCTGCTCCGCCTCGCACTTCTCGACGCGCAGCTGCCGCTTGATCTGCGACACCAGGTGTCGTGGTGAGCAAGTGCGGGCGGCGCAAACTGTGCGCGAGTGGTCACATACCTCGATCTCCTTGCGCTGCTCGATCATCGTGTTCCACTTCTCCGTCACCTCCTTCACCGCGATCTCGCTCGTCGCCTCCTCGCTCGCCACGATGCATGGCGTTCGAGTCTGAGCGACGGCTATGCTGATTCGCGCGACATTGAGGCGCTCCGCAACCAGAAGGGTGTCGGCGAGTGGAGTGTGGAGCAGCTGCAGCAGCTCTGCGACACGGGCGCCTGTTCCTACATCATGGCGCTGCGGGCTCGGCGGCAGTAGAGGGAGGGGCCGAGGGACCATACCCCCCCCACCCCTGTCGAGGGCTAGCCTTGGGCGGTCAGGACCAAACCCCCCCACCCTTTGGTCCGCGAGGTACCCTACCATACCCCGGAAAAGTTGGAACCCTGTCTCGGTCAAACGCGTCCACCACAGGCTGACCGCCTGCCACTCTGCCTCCCTCAGCGATGAGCGACGACGAGTGGGAGACGGATCCGGACTACGAGAACAACATCTCGGAGTCTGATCGGCGGCGGGCCGGCACCGCCGCCGCTGCCGAGGGGCTGCGGCACGACCGGCTGACTGGCTTCACTGCCGAGCTCTCCAAGTCTTTCTCGGCCGGGCTTCCGGGCGGCGCGACCTCCGAAGAGGGGAGTGCGGGAGCGAGGAGGGCCGAGGAGGAGCGCGCCCGCATCGCGGCCGCCCGCGAGGCGGAGCAGGCGCGCCGGCAGCAGGCGGCGGCCTGCAGGCAGAAGAAGGAGGAGGAGGAGGAGGCGGCGGCGAGAGCAGAGAAGGAGAGGGCGGTCCGGGAGGCAGCGGAGAGGGAGGTGGCAGCGGAGAAGGCAAGGGGGGAGGCGAGGGTGAAGGCGGAGGCAGAGGCGGCAGAGGCGGCGAGGGCGGCGGAGATGGAGAGGGCGGCGGAGATGGAGAGGGCGGCAGAGGCGGCGAGGGCGGCGGAGATGGAGAGGGCGGCGGAGATGGAGAGGGCGGCGGAGATGGAGAGGGCGGCAGAGGCGGCCAGGGCGGCGGAGATGGAGAGGGCGGCAGAGGCGGCGGCGGCGGCGGCGGAGGCGGCGAGGGCAGCTGAGAGGGAGAGGGCTGCGAGGGCTGCGCTGAAGGAGGCGGAGGCAGCCGCTGCGGAGAGTGCTCACCGGGAGGAGGCGGCGGCGGCAGAGGCGGCACGCGTGGCACGCTTGGAGGCGGAGCGGCGGCGGCGTGAGCGGGAAGAGGAGGAGAAGGCCCGAATCCAGGCAGATGCGGCGGCGGAGGCGGAGGCGGAGAGGCGGCGGCTTGAGGCGGAGGAGGAGGCGCG